TGGAATGCGGCTGGGGAAGAGCCGTGCCACCTCCCAGAGCTGCAGCCAGCTGACAGCAACGACCGGGTTTGGGTCGGCGACTGGACTCTGCCCCCTTCGGCGCAAGGCCTCCAGGTCCTGGGCACCCCCATTGGGAGCGCGCAATACGTGCAACATGCTCTTACCGAGGTCCGCACCAAACAAGACCTCCTTCTCCACCGCATCCCATGGGTAGAGAACCTGCAGGCCGCCTGGCTGTTGCTCCTTTTCTGCGCAGCCCCCCGGAGCAACTATCTCCTCCGCGTCCTCCCACCGGCGGACACCTCAGACTTTGCAGCCGCCCACGACCCCGCGGTGGCACATTGCGTCAGCACCCTGGTGGCGGCAGGCGCGGCCCTTTCGGACCTGCAGCTACACCGGGCCCAACTCCCATTGCGCTTGGGGGGGTGCGGCCTGCGCTCGGCCCACCGTTCGCGCCTCGCCGCGTATTGGGCCTCATGGGCCGACACCTTGCCCATCCTCCACGCGCGCCTTCCTCTTGTGGCGGACCGCCTTCTCCAGCTCCTCAGCGGCGAGGCCCGCCCACAACCACCCAGCATCCTCGCCGCCTCCCAGGCAGCCCAGCTCCTCCGGAACAGCGGGGCGACTGTCCCACCCTGGGAATCTATCATCGGCGGCCGCCATACCTTCTCGCACGAAGACCGGACCCCGGGCGATTTCCTGCGGGGGTGGCAGCGCGACATCAGTGCAGCCCAAGACTTGGACGAGCTCGCAGCGCTCCTATCTGACCTTTCCCCTCCGGAGCGCGCGCTTCTCCTATCCCAGGCTGGCCCACACAGCGGCCGCGCAGTCACAACCCTTCCTACCAGCCCGGAATTCCAGCTCGGCAACCCACTTTTCCGCACCTTGCTGCAACGGCGGCTCCGAGCCCCCTTGAGCTGCGGCCCTTCCCGGTGTCGGTGTGGCTTGGCACTCGACCCTTACGGCGACCACCGTGCCGCATGCGCCACCACTGGCGTCCTCCGGGCACGAGCTGCGCCCATCGAACGCGCGGTCGCCCGCATCTGCCGCGAGGCCGGTGCCCGCGTCGCGGTCAACGTGCCGCTCTCGCGCATGAACCTCGCGGTCCCGGTCACCGACGCACGCCAGATCGAAGTCCTCGCAAACGACTTGCCGCTCTGGCACGGGGCTCAGCTGGCAGTCGACGTGACCCTCGTCAGCCCCCTTGGCCGCACCGGACAGGTGCGCCACGCTTCCGACGCGAACCCGGGCGCGGCGATCCTGGCAGCCTCCCAGCGCAAGCGGGAACACACCTACCCCGAGTTTTCCGGCTCGCGCCGCTGCCACCTAATCATCTTGGGTCTCGAAGTAGGAGGTCGTTGGGGCGAGGAAGCCGCCGACTTCCTCCGAGCCTTGGCGCACGCCCGCGCCCGCACTGCGCCAGCACTCCTCCGCTCGGCGGCAGTTCAGGCCTACGTGCACCGTTGGGCCGGCCTCCTATCCGTCGCGGCGCAGCGCGCCCTGGCCGAGACTCTCCTCGAACTCCCGGCCGCGGCCGCACCCGGCGTCGATGGGGAGCCCCCGCCGTTCGCCGCGACCCTGGCTGACGTCCGGTGGCATGAACGCCCACCGGATAGTCGCCTCCCGCGGTGACCGCTGTGGCTGTACATAGCCTCCCCCAATGGCAAAGTCCATTGGCGCGTGAGACGCAGAGTGGGTCATGCAGCAGGGAAAAAAAAATAAATATTCTAAATATTTCAATTTTTTCAATTATTTCATATATTTCAAATATTCCAAGTATTTCAAATATTTCAAATACCCCAAATATTCCAAATATTTCAAATATTCCAACTTTTCCACATATTTCAAATATTTCAAATATTCCAACTTTTCCACATATTTCAATCAAATATTTCAAATATTCCAACTATTCCGCATATTTCGAATATTTCAAATATGTCAAATATTTCACATGCTTGAAATATTACTATTTATTTGCTTTCTAATTATTATTTTTTTGTTTTTTAAATTCATATTTTAACTTCAATATGTGTTATTTATTGTTTTCTTCATTAATGTTTTTCTTTTAATTACTAATAATTATGTTTTAAATCTATTTTATTGCTATTTATTGTGTTTTTTTAAATATTAATTTCTATATATATATATATGTATAGATATTTATTTATTTAAATATATATATATATATTTATTTTAAAAAAATATAAATATAAATATTTATATTTATATATTTATATATTTATATTTATATATTTATATTTATATATTTATATTTATATGTATATATATATATACATATTTATTTTTATAAATATATATATATATATATTTTATTTATTTACTTATTCATATATATATATATTTATATTTATATATATATATATTTTCTTTTTACTTTATTATTACTATTCTTATTAATTGAAATTCATTTATACTTTTTAATAATTAGTTGTTTTATTATTATTATTATTTTTGTTTTATTCTATTTTCTTGAGATATTTATCATTTATCATTTATATTTATATTATAATATATATATATATATTTATTACTATTCTTTTTTACTCTTTTTTTAAATTTATATTTTCTCAAAATAATAAATAACTCATTATTACTTATAGTTTTTGAATTTTTTCATTTTTAAATTCATTAGTTTAATCTTTATTTTTGGTATGTGTATTTTTACTATTTTTTTTGTTTTTTATCATTATTTTTTTTATATATTTGATTTTTATCTTCAATTTTTTAAGGTATTTTTATCATTTATTTTATTTATGTTTATTTATTGTTTGCTTTTATTTATTGCTTTTTATTTTTTAATTTTTAAATTAATAAATATATATCTATATATTTTTAAGTTTATTATTATTATTAATTCTATTTTTATTTTATTTATTTTATTTATTTATTATATTTTTTATTTTTTATTTTATTTTTGTTTATTTTTTATTTTTATTTACTTTTATTCATATTTTTTTAAATCTACTAGTTAGTTGCATTTTTCACATGTATTTAGATCAAAGAGACATATTGAATAAATATATTGTTAGGCAAAGGGGCTGCCTGTTACCTCATCTGTACGCACCCAAAGTAAATACTACCGCAACCTCCTCTGAGTTTTATTTTTGTGTATTGGTTATACGTGTCAGCAACCGATTGGGGCATGAAAGGTATTGCAGTTTCAATCTTTAGCGTTCATAGTTTCAAACATGCATGCTAAGTTCTTGAACAAAAACACGCACGGTCTTGCGCTGCTTTGAGGGTGGCAAGCTCACTACGCACGAGGCCATTCAGCGCCCAGCATCTCGGCGCCCAGCATCTCGCAAATGGTTTGCACATCCTCAGGGAGTCTGCTGCTTTGCGTCATACGTTGTCTATGGTGTCTTGGAACGCGGGCGCAGCTAGGCAGCGACTAGACGTGGGCTTGTTCTGCTCGAAATCCTTTGTTTGCGGGGCAATCCAGGAAGCAAATGATGAGGTCTACCAGCAACTGCTGCGGCACGGCTGTAGAGTGTTTCGGCCCAACAACGAAGACATTACAGCTTGGGTGTTTATTGGTGATCAATTCCTCGAGGGTGACGAAATTATTCACGAGCATCTTCGAACCGACGCTCAAGGGCGCTGGATTCTTACTCCCACTTTTGTCCATTTGAGGTTAAAGGCACCTCATGATTGGGGGGTCCGCGAGGTCACCTTAGGAAGTGCTCATTTGAACAATGTTGTTGCTAAATCACCAGATGTCGCGACTCAGGTGTTGGACGAGTTCTTGACTCTCGCGAACCAATACAACGTAGACTTGATCGGATGCGATCTGAATAGATTTTTACACAGCAACGGGCTTGCATGGGACAAAGGCGGCCTGTGCAGAGTGAAAGTGGCGAAAGATGGGAAAAGGGTGGCTAGTGTGAAATGAAAGGACGAGGAAAACAGCAGCAATTGCATTGCCGAAAAAAACGGAAGGAAGGGAATGAGAGGGAGTGAGAGGAGTGAAGGAATGATGACTCTTGGGGCTAAAGAATCATTAGGTTGCAACTGTGGTTCTAATCACTAGTGATTGGAACATCAAGACGATGTGATTAGCTGGTAAGTTTTAAACACGTCAAGGCCTACCACGGAAAGCAGTTTGCTCAACACAATGATGTTATGGGTGGTCTGCAAACAGTTGTGGCCAGCTGTTTTACATAGATGTACGAAGTTATGCATTTATCTATTAATCTATCTATCAATCTTGTAAATATTTACATAATATAGTAGATCACAGAGATGCCTCTTGGCATATATATATATATATACATATTTGATATATATATATATAATTATATGTGTTTTTGAATGGAGAGACCTGCAAAAATGTATTTACATATATATATATATATTTTTATAATATGTATATATATATATATAGGCAGGTAATACTGTAGCACACAGTATGCATATGGATACAAATAGATAATACATTTTCAAATAATTACATATACATATATAGTATATAAATATATATGTATATGCATATTTGTTTATTTCTTCAATGCCTTTTTTTGGGGGGTGAACTTAACTTTAGGCGTAAATTCAGGACCAGCGAAGACGTGGCTCTGCATTTGTTGGCAAGGAATCAGCTAAGTTTTGCAGTCCTTGATTGATTCTAGGCGAAAATCAACGACCTGAAACCCCAGTGAATACACATTTTAACACATTGATAAGGCATAGATGTGAGATTTTCTGACCAAGGGACTGGTGGTTTGATTCAGATCCCACTGAATCGGCTGAAGCGAGGATTTGGAGCTGGTCAATAAGGCCATTTCACGAGTCCGTGCCAGTGAAGCAGCCACTTAGCTGGAGAAATGCGCGGAAGAAACATAAGAAACTGGGCGCAAAGTGCCATCCACGCAGTTTTTGAAAACAAACAGGAAACCTTCTATGATCTTCTATGCATTTGCAGGGGTTCATCGGTATGCTGCGTATGCAGACTTGAGGTGAAAGTCGCGAAGGTGAACCAGCAAATGACTGCGGCTCGGTGATGTTTCATTAATGGTGCGTCAGTGCCGCATTTCAGGGTGTGGTTGGAAAATCATGGAAAATCAATGTAACCCCAGGATGTATATCTAAACTATCAGGGTTGTGGGGTAGATCCTTTAAGAAACCCTGTTTACAAGTAGATTGACTAGTTTTAGTGATGCCAGGGAACTGCACGCCTATAGATGCAGGGGTCTCCCCATAGGTGCTGATGAAGAGCGCGGCGGAGCTGAAGAAGAAGTTTCTGGAGACAGACTCCAAGGTAGCTTGAGGATCTGAATGCCTTGCGGATGTTTCGTTTCGAAGAAAAGAAGCTGGTCATATGGTTTCATGGTGTTTGACCAATTAATATTATAATTGATTATATACATGTAATCACATGTATACTTTTCCGCCATTGTGCAAGACTTACAGTATAGAAACTGAGATGTATAGCATTTGTACAGCATGTTCTCCTGATTCTTTCTCCTGACATTGCGGAATTCAATTCTGCGGGGGGTACCCGAAGATAGAACAGTGTACCTCTCAAAACCCATCAAAATCCAGAAATTACACCAATTTACCATATCTTAGCTGGGAATGAAACAGATCCACAACTACCAGCAGCTTTGATGTTGACCAAGATTTCATCGCCATTTTCCAAAGGTGATTTTTTTTGGACCCCCATCCTGGATGGTTTGCCGTCGACTCAGGTGGATCAGGTCATTAGCGCAGAAGCCTCTGCAGCTGAGAGGATGAAGCAGATGAAGCTCACGGTGGGGATCTGGATCTGGATGGCCTTAGGGGGGAAAATGATGGAACATGGACAAGACATCATATATTAGAAATGACGTTTTTTTTTTGGGGGGGGTTTAACTGCCAAGAAAAACAAGATGGGGGTGAAGAATGTAACATGTCCTATTTCGCCAACTCTGGTGAGTTTGGGGCGGCGTAACTCTGTAACTCTCCCAAAAATAGAGGGCGAGATTGGACAAATCCACTGAGCAACAAACCCGGATAAATGTGCGAGAAACCGTCAAGATTTTTTTTTCTGGAATCAGATGATGCACTGACCATGCAAGATATAATTCCCTACCATTCAGATCCAATCAGCATATGAACCATCTCTTGATTAATTGTCATCCCTTAGATCGTGGAAATGTAGCCCAATCTGTCAGCAGGTAGACGAGAAAGAAACCACGCCATCGGCTCAGAAAGGGAGGGAACAAATGAGCCACTGGCATGGCTCAAAATATCAGTCACTCTCAGGTTGCTCCACAACATGAGGAAGAAAACTGCAGGCCCATTAGTATCATATTTTGTGGCCACCACATACAATAAGATCCAAGAAGTTTAGTAGGCAAGCCTCAGGCTTTGGGATTCGTCCAGTTTTTCCCCACCTGCCAGGTGAGGGTTGTTAGATTTTATGTCAGTTGCCTCCTCCTCCTCCTCCGCCTCCTCCTGCCTCGTCCTCCTCTCCTCCTCCTCCTCCTTGTCATCCTTGTCGTCCTTGTCGTCCTCGTCGTCCTCGTCGTCCTCGTCGTCCTTGCTCAACTGCGACCCGCGATCCACAGTGTTCTCTGTCGGACCTCAACCACGACCACCCACGCCCAGTGTTCCCTGCCGGACCTCAACCACGACCATCCACGCCCAGTTCCCTGCCGGACCTCAACCGCGAGTATCCACGCCAAGTGTTCCCTGCCGGACCTCCACCACGACCATCCACGCCCAGTGTTCCCTGCCGGACCTCAACCGCGAGTATCCACGCCAAGTGTTCCCTGCCGGACCTCATGTAGGAAGATTTGCCAGATAGAATGCCAGAAAATATGCCAGAAGATATGCCAGATAGATATGCCAGAAGATATTCCAGAAGATATGCCAGATAGAATGCCAGATAGAATGCCAGATAGAATGCCAGAAGATATGTCAGAAGATATGCCAGATAGAATGCCAGGTAATATGCCAGAAGATATGCCAGATAGAATGCCAGATAGAATGCCAGAAGATTTGCCAGATAGAATGCCAGAAGATATACCAGAAGATATGCCAGATAGATATGCCAGAAGATATGCCAGATAGAATGCCAGGTAATATGCCAGAAGATATGCCAGATAGAATGCCAGATAGAATGCCAGATATGATATATGCCAGATAGAATGCCAGATAGAATGCTAGAAGATATGTCAGATAGATATGTCAGATAGAAGATAGAATGCCAGATAGAACCAGAAAATATGTCAGAATATATGCCAGAAGATATGCCAGATAGAATGCCAGATAGAATGCTAGAAGATATGCCAGATAGAATGCCAGATAGAATGCCAGAAGATTTGCCAGATAGAATGCCAGAAAATATGCCAGAAGATATGCCAGATAGATATGCCAGAAGATATGCCAGATAGAATGCCAGGTAATATGCCAGAAGATATGCCAGATAGAATGCCAGAAGATTTGCCAGATAGAATGCCAGAAAATATGCCAGAAGATATGCCAGATAGATATGCCAGATAGAATGCCAAATAGAATGCCAGATAGGATGCCAGATAGAATGCCAGAAAATATGTCAGAATTTATGCCAGAAGATATGCCAGATAGAATGCTAGAAGATATGTCAGATAGAATGCCAGAAGATATGCCAGATAGAATGCCAAATAGAATGCCAGATAGAATGCCAGAAGATTTGCCAGAAGATATGCCAGAACATATGCCAGAAGATATGCCCGATAGAATGCCAGATAGAATGCCAGAAGATTTGCCAGATAGAATGCCAGAAAATCTGCCAGAAGATATGCCAGATAGATATGCCAGAAGATATGCCAGATAGAATGCCAAATAGAATGCCAGATAGAATGCCAGATAGAATGCCAGGTCAGAATATATGCCAGAAGATATGCCAGATAGAATGCCAGATAGAATGCTAGAAGATATGTCAGATAGAATGCCAGATTGAATGCCAGAAGATATGTCAGATACTATGCCAGAAGATATGCCAGATAGAATGCCAGAAGATTTGCCAGATAGAAGCCAGAAGATATACCAGAAGATATGCCAGATCATATGCCAGAAGATATGCCAGATAGAATGCCAAATAGAATGTCAGAAGATATGCCAGATAGAATGCCAGAAGATTTGCCAGTAAGAAAATGTATAAATGTCATGGTGGGGATCACACGAAGTAAAGTATTTTTTTTTTACGATAGAACTTCGGCAAGCAAACATGGACGGATTGGAATTCAATTCTAGTACAAAAGTATCTCTATAAACATGTCCATGAGATAGCGTAGTTTCAATCTGATTTTACGTCTCCCGAAGGTGCTGTCTCCATTTTGGAAATTCAAGCGACCAAGGACCCCAATTTCTGCACCACCAAAGTAGAACTTGGAACCACACCTGGCAGCCCATGAAACTCACCTCTGATGAGACTGGGCTGCTGAGGTACGAAGCCGCCAAGCGACGTGTGGAGCAGATTTATGAAGAACTTCGCGCTGGTGTTAAACAAAAAGAACCTTGGCAGCTGCATGATTGGATGATTGATTGGTGAATTTGTGGCAACACATCCGTTGGTGTGTGTATACATATATATATATATATTATGCATTAGATAATATATAATTACAGTTATCTGTATATAATGGTCCAGCGTTCCAACCCCCCCTCCCCCTCCGCCATGGTCATGGCTCAGGATATTTCATGATTAGTACTAAACCCCCCTTCCCCCGTGGTGTGGTGGAAGGGGGGTGGGGGGGTATGTTGTCTCTATGATATATCATACATCATATTATATATATATGTACACATGATTTATTATATATACACATATAGATGGTATTCATGATATTATGATATAGGTATACATGATATATGTGCTATATTTATATGTTATCTTATATATATATATGTATGCATTGTGATATGATATATATATGTGTGTATTATATATATGTGTGTGTGTGTGTGAAAAATATGATGTAAATATATGATATATGGTGTATATATATATACATATATGATAATATAAATATGATAATATTTTTATATATATATATATATGTATGATATATATTTTTGATATATATGGTGTATATATATATGATATATATATATATGATATATATATATATATGATATATATATATGATATATATATATGATATATATATATGATATATATATATATATATGATATATATATATATGATATATATATGATATATATATATATGATATATATATATGTGATATTTATTATTAATATTCCCTTTTGATGTAGATTGTTTATATACACATATGATATTATACATACATATATATATAGTACGTTGAAGGAGAATGTGTACTATGTTGCAAATAGGTTGCAAATAGAAGCGCCGGGGGTGCTACAGGGGACCCATACAATTGGATGCCAAGGACGAGGATCTGAGGTTCAAGGGGCAGCTTTCTTAAGAACTCTTTAGGCAATGTGCGTAGTTTTGGCGCAAAACGCGGCAGGTGCTCACATGAAAATGGCACCGCCACCCCGTTTTCTATTGAAAGAAATTGAGCTATGGGTTTGTTTTACGAAATCCCTGTGTTCACCTATATTCACTGATAAGTTACAACAACATGGTTTCCTGAATTGTTGGCTGCAACCAATCCATTGGTGTGTGGAATAAACATAATAAGTTTATGCACATCAAATTGTAATTATATATATATATTATGTATTCATATATATATAATATATATATATATAGTATGAACATATACATATATATATATATTGTATATATATATAAATATCAGTATGCTCATGTGACAATCCCACGAAGGGCCTGAGAAAAATCACCATGCAACAAGGACTCCCAAGGGGGCCAAGGGCCCATCGGCTGAGGCGGAAGTGAAACGCCTCAAAAGGGCCTTGCAAGCTGCCAAGAAGCACCAGGACGCCCGTGGGGATGGCTGTGGAGGGGTTCGGGTCAATGCCTATGGGTCATTACCCCCCCATTTGTTGGGATCAAATTATGTTTCATGATACCAGGATTAGGTTGAATGATGGTTATATCTCAAGTATGATATGAACGGAATAGGTTGATATTTGACGATATTTGATGATGTCTACTGATTTTTGATAGGACTGCTTTTGACACCCTATCAACCGACAAGTTACTAAACAACTCGGAATGCCAAACCCTATGTTCGAAACTTAATTGTTTTTGAACGACAACATGATTTGCCTATGAGTTGTTTTGATGTTCATGACGTTAGTGCCGATAGGGAAGCAGGACATGAAATAAATGTTACTCTGTGGTAAGCACCCTGCAAACCATGTTTGGGTCGAAAGCAGATTGCTTCGCTCCACATCATAGTTCTAATCTGGTTATACTGCTTCTCAAACTCTTGGCTGATGGTGGTTTCCTCACCTCCAATCCAGGAGCAGGCTGTGTCTTTACTCTCCGAGAAGTTGAAGGAGTAGACTGTAGACTTGCGGATTGGATTGCTTGTGGTTGATGTCCATTTGCACTGGTGCGACGGTTAGCATCATGTGCTGTATTGATGTTACCCTCCGGTGTCATGAAACGTGGAAAATAGATCCATTTAGTTCGATGTTTCCAGCCAAAATATACTTTTTTCCAGCTCGCCATGTTTGATTACCAGGCCCGGCCCACTTCAAGATGCTGGAAGTAGCAGAACCCAAGGGATGTCTTATCAGAGTACATCCCTGCACCTGCTGGTTCTATAATGTTCTATACAGACTTCAGCAATTTGTCCAGGTACATATTACATCGAGATGCATGGATACATTATGATACATTCCATGTCGCTTTCGACCCTCACGGTGCTATGTCATGTGAACATGTCATAAGTGCCACTGCCACTGCCACGCAGTTCGAGCCTCCATTTCCGGAAGAGCCGCGGGAAATTTCTGCGACCGCGGCCATGGAGACATCGCGTGGCTTGCGCAAGAGGCGCCTCTCGCCAGGGATTTCAGTGGCCAATGCCAAACGGCAACGCAGACAGTCGGGTCTGGTGGACTTTTTGAGGCCCAGCCAGGCAGTAGCTTGGCGAAATGGGACTTTTGTCCCTCCTGGTTATTCAAAGGTTTGGCAAACTGGATACAACAAATTGCCCGAGATTAATATCGGCAAGCTTTTTCTGGCGCTCATTGGCTGAGTATGACGAACATATGTTTGAGAAACACATCGGGTTCTTATGATCAAGGCATATCAAGGCTAAATTCGCTGATGCTGGCAAGTCAACCATCTGCAAAACATGGAGAGGCTGAAGGGGCATAAAGAGTTATAAAGTCCTGTTCGTAGTGCCCACAAACGATTTGGGATTGGAATGTGATGTTGAAAGTATTAAATGATGATAAACAAATTCTTCAGTGTTAGCCATCGGGACAAGCAATTGGGTAAGTTATGGCAAGTTTGATTTCTGAAGCTGATGTCTTTGCTAAGGTCTGTTTCAGCAATGGATCGGTTCAAGGGGAAATCTACACGAAACCATGTTTTTTCTTCCCCATGAAATATGGTGGTTTCCAGGGGTTCGTGTAAAGCTTGCCTTAGATAACCCATTGATTTAAAGACCCCGTTTACCATATATCCCCAAAGCCATCAACAATAGCTATATAAATATAGCTATGTCCTTTCAAAAATCAATGACTGTTGATCAAACCTGAGCCGATCTCCAGGTTGGGGAGGCATGGCCTGTGTCAGACTTGCGAGCCTTTGACGCTCCCACAGATGCATGGCCCATGATGCCATGGCTGGGAAATTGCTATGGGCCATTCATAGATGATTTACCTATGAAACATGGTGATTCAATGGGCTTTAAATAGGACAATCCCCAAACTCAATCAAGATTTATAACTGGAAAAATCATCGAATCTATAGATAGATAGATAGATTAGATTAGATTAGATTAGATTAGATAGATAGATAGATAGATAATAGGGGATTTTCCGGTATGCCATGTTGGACTACGAGGGGAACGAAACATAGGGAGATTCCATCCAAGACATCAATTCGACTCACTTTACTACTTTAGAATACTGCTTTAGATGATACATCCCTCAAAACTTGGCAATGTCTGCCTTTTCACAGGCGCTTCACTTCATTTTGACTTCAGATAGTGCATTCAATGACCACTTGAATAGGAAACAGTGGTGATGGTGGTGAACCAACCATTTTGGCAGTCTGAGGAACCTTTTTGTGAGATCAACTACGGTCCCCTCCTCCGTGATGTGTTGCGTGCGCGCGGCTGGCGATATAGCACTGAACCATGCCACGGTGTCTATGACAAGGAAAGTGAGAAGAGCACATTCTACATCAAGGAGTTTGAGGTTCTTTGGCCGAAAAGCCAGCAGCTGGTGGGGTGAGAAAAACGGAGTGGGGGTTCACAAAAGTTTGCACAGGGGTCACCAAAAACAAAAAGATGCGTAACATGATATTGTTTGTAGACATTTCATGGCTGCTCATTGTTTTGGATACAAAATGGCACACATATTCATGCCATCATACCTAGCTGCATCCACCCATACATCCATGCACATATCACGCTCATACAGTTTTGAGCCAAGTTTGACAACCACTTCGCAATAAGTCCATGGATTTCAGAGTGTAGAGGAGATTTCTCTTTTTTTTCAGCCCTCTACCCCTTCCAATCCCTCCCATGCCCAGATATACCCAGTGGGCCTCGCTTGAGGCCTGCTTGAGGGGCAAGACGCCAGCGCAACTTTTTGGAAAGGCTGGAGCTTCTGAAGATGGCTATCGCTTGCAGACCCTCAAGTTGCCAAGGCCTGCGGAGATAATGTCTCAGAAAGCTTAGGCATAAATATATACATATATATATATAATTATATTATGAAGCATATATCATATATATAACAAGCTAATATATGCTATAATATAGCATGTGCAATATACATAATATATATAATAATACTATATATACAATATGATACTATAATATATTTAATACACATAATACATGTGATATATATATATATATATTTACACTAAAATATGATATTATGGATAGAATAATATATATATATATACATATATAACATGCATATATATATAATACATTTAATATATAAGATAATATACATGGTATGTATATATATATACATATATGTAGTATCTTTTAATATGCACATATATTTTTTTTTTATAATGCATGATATACATATATATATATGTGGTACAATTTATATGTATATAATATAAGATGATATAATATGATATGATATAATCTGATTTAATTTACTTTAATGTAATTCAATTTGATATATAATTTAATTTAATTTCATATAATGTATTGCAATTTCATATAACATAAGTCATATGTTAATATAATATATATATATATATTGTTTTTTTAAAATATAATATATTTTTCATATGTATAATATATTTTTCTATACAATATTTTTTTTACTATATAATATATTTTTACTATTTAATACATTTATTATATTTAATATTTATATATATATATAATATCGTCTAATTTATCTATATATATATAATATCATCTAATATCTATATGCAAAATATCATCTATCATATGTATGTATATCATATTATATATTTGAAAGGTATTATATATATATACCTTGATACTCCAACGACCCTTAATTATCGTTCAATAAAAATGCATTTTTTTCCGAAAGCACTTTTTTGAAATTAAGTCCTGTTTTTTGCATGTTAGTGATGTTCACTCAGAGGTGCGCTGAAGCTGTGGAAATCAAATAAATGTGCCACATTGCCAACTTGCAACTCATTGTTGCAGGTGCCGTTTTTATTTTGGCTGATTGAAGGTGCAGGAGCAAGATTTCCAAAGTATTGGTTCTCGTTTATGTGTTTGATGCCATGGTTTCGATCTTCCTTGCTTTGATTTTTGGCTGGTCTTTGCTATTTTATTTATAATATATATATATATATATACATAATATAATTTATATCATATATATATATATATCATATATATATGATAATATATATATATATGTATATGTATAATATAATGTATATGTGTAAAATAATGTATATTCAATATAATATATATATATATAATAATTTATATAATATAATATATATATATATATAATATGATCTATAATATTTTTGTTTTTTTTATTATTTCTGGTTGGTGGTTTGGAGCATTTTTTATTTTTCCCCACCTGCCAGGTGAGGGTTGTTAGATTTTATGTCAGTTGCCTCCTCCTCCTGCCGCCTCCTGCCTCGTCCTGCCTCCTGCCTCCTCCTCGTCCTCCTTGTCGTCCTTGTCGTCCTCGTCGTCCTCGTCGTCCTCGTCGTCCTCGTCGTCCTCGTCCAACTGCGACCCGCGATCCACAGTGTTCGCTGCCGGACCTCAACCACGACCATCCACGACCAGTGTTCCCTGCCGGACCTCAACCACGACCATCCACGCCCAGTGTTCCCTGCCGGACCTCAACCACGACCAGCCACGCCCAGTGTTCCCTGCCGGACCTCAACCGCGAGTATCCATGCCAAGTGTTCCCTGCCGGACCTCAACCGCGAGTATCCACGCCAAGTGTTCCCTGCCGGACCTCATGTAGGAAGATAAAATGTCAGATAGAGTGCCAGAAGATTTGCCAGAAGATAGAATGCCAGAAAATATGCCAGAAGATATGCCAGATAGAATAGATAGAATAGAGATGCCAGATAGAATGCCAGAAGATATGTCAGATAGAATGCCAGAAGATATGCCAGATAGAATGCCAGAAGATTTGCCAGATAGATGCCAGAAGATGCCAGATAGAATGCCAGAAGATATGCCAGAAGATATGCCAGATAGAATGCCAAATAGAATATCAGAAGATATGTCAGATAGAATGCCAGAAGATATGCCAGAAGATATGCCAGATAGAATGCCAAATAGAATGTCAGAAGATAGAATGCCAGAAGATATGCCAGATAGAATGCCAAATAGAATATCAGAAGATATGTCAGATAGAATGCCAGAAGATATGCCAGAAGATATGCCAGATAGAATGCCAAATAGAATGTCAGAAGATATGTCAGATAGAATGCCAAATAGAATGTCAGAAGATATGTCAGATAGAATGCCAGAAGATTTGCCAGATAGAATGCCAGAAGATATGCCAGATAGAATGCCAAATAGAATGTCAGAAGATATGTCAGATAGAATGCCCGAAGATATGCCAGAAGATATGCCAGATAGAATGCCAAATAGAATGTCAGAAGATATGTCAGATAGAATGCTAGAAGATGTGCCAGTAAGAACATGTATAAATGTCATGGTGGGGATCACACGAAGTAAAGTAATTCCATATATTGGGAAGAATCATCCCGACTGACTATTATTTTTCAGAGGGGTTGAAACCACCAAGCAGTTTTATATAATATATAGATATATAACATAATATATACAATATAATGTATATAAGATAATAATATTTGTTTTTAGTTTATATAATTCATATAGTGTATAATATTTATAATATAATCTAATACATATGATTTTAAAGCGACAATTTTTCCTTGGAAGATTTGCCGATACAATGCAAACATGCAAAGGCATTTTTTCCTTCAAACGTACCTTTTTTGCTGAGGGGCGTCCGGACGGCGTCCGAAAGTACGGAAAAATGCGTCCAAAGTACAGAAATATCCGTCCAGTTTGGACCTGTCCAAGCCAAAAGGGCTTAAAAAACACACACATCATTTTTTTTCACGTCCGTCCGTCCATCTGTCAAAACTGTTTCAGGGCGAGTGGATGTGCTCAAACCCCGTGTATATTCTGCAGAAATGTCGCAATGTGCAAATGTTTGCCCGTTTGCCCCCGCATCTCATTGTAAAAAGCAGGCAAAGGTTTGATATTTCGACACGAATCGTGGATCCAAAGTTGTTCAGCCATAGTAAGTTTTAGTCATGCGCCTGGGTCTGAATGATCTGTGAGGGTGCCTGATCCAACAACATCAGGCAGGACAAGCACAAAACACTCACATGATTTAGCTTAGTAATGCTTAGTGTATAGCCTCATAGCCAGCACCTGCTTGGAAGATAACATGTATTTTTTGCATGAAAGGGCCCCAAAAAGTATCAAACGTACCCAAAAATAATGTGTTGTGCAAACGATCTAAAAACGAAGGGTAGTGGAGACTCCAGGTATTATATATATATATGGTTATCTATATATATATATATATTATACATGATATATATATATATATATTATACATGATATATAGGGATGGTTCCAGAATGTCCTTCTTCCAGGCATGCTCTCTGGATGCTGGGTCGCCTCCCTTACCGAGTTCCGGGAACCGCACGGGACCAGTGCCTTGGAATTTCAGTGCCTTCAGCCAGGGCAATGTGAGTCTCATCCAGGGTGAACCAGCCACATACCATGATTGATATATATATATATATATATGATATATCATGGAATGTCATCATAATTTTGACATGTTTATGGTTAAAGAATGTTGAATACCTATAGTTTTATCCTGTTTTATCCCTTGATAAATCATCCAGTGGCACTTTGCACTTGCTACAGCTGGACTCTCAGGTGTCGCGACCGTGAGGATTTTGTACAGCTGGTCATGGAGCATGGCGAAAACCTTCCGGGCAAAGCGGGCAACTACCGCATCGCCAAGTTCCCAGGCACAGAACGGATCCTGTTCAAGACCAATTTCTCCAAGGCCTTCAAAGACAAAGCTTGGTATCCAAGGACCTTCATTCTTCCGGAAGAGAAGGCCCCGGCGCTGATGAACTTCTTTTGAACGCATGTTTGATCATGTCTCAAACATGTGACATTTGTGTGAGATTCACTGATGTTGCCTGATTGTTGGAGACCAACATTCGTCCTAAAAACCAAAGTTTCCACCTGGGATAGCATGTGACAGCATGTGCAACCATCCATGACCTTCTACGAGCATCCAAGACACAAGAGCAATCCATAATCACCTCAAAACAGGAACCCTCAATCATAATGTAGAGTCAATTGCACGACTTTGATTTGGTTCTTCATGTTCTGTTTCATGGAATGGGGCCACTCGAAAGAAGTATCACCCACCTCCGGGAATTGGTTAACCGTTTAACCTAGGTCAAAAATGGTCTTTCATGGTCTTCCTATGAATTTTCCCTTCAACCCAGAAACTCCAGTGAGCATGGATTTCCCTTAAACCAGGTGGATTTCCTGCGCACACTTCGTCTGCGGCCGCGCAGCTTTTGGATCGGCAAGCCACGCAACGAGTACGGCGGAGCCGGCATTTGCGTCTTCAAGGCGACGGATCAGGTGCGAGGGTGAGCAGGGTGAGCAGGGTGAGCAGCGAAGCGGGTGAATGTTGATAATGTCAACCCGGGATTAATAAACCTCTAGGGTGTTTAATTGGGAAGGGTCATTTAAATATTAGATTATGACTATTGGAGGAGTACCCCCCTAATTAATAAACCATGGTTTATTAATCCGGGGTTGACATTACTTGTTAATGAGTCTAAGGTCTTAAGGGAAATCTAATCAACGAAAATGGTGCTATACCGTCATTTTTTGGGGGAACAACGGGATGTAAGCCAACAATATGATATTTGATTGTGCGTTTGATGATGGGGTATACCCTTGAATAGCCATTTTGTATGGGACATTTATGATGATACAATGGAATTGGGCTGTGGATTCAGTCATAGAGGTTGTCAAATCTCAAAGTCTAGCTGCTGAAAACACATTTGTTGGACCAGTTGGTCAAACTTGCCAATTTACGTTTCAGAGGTACATCATGATATGGTTGCAGCATGCTGCAGCATTTTAATGTCACATTGCCTACTTGGGCCTACTTTGAAGTCGAAATTCGCCAGAGGGGGTACATCCGCAGTTGGTCAGACATTCTCCAGTTTTTCGATGTCTTCAGGTAGATCTCATAGGATGCACCGAAGGGTTCCAGGGACCTAAGGATTCTTACAATGTCATTCCAGTGCTTCAAACAAACATGGTGATTTTCAGGCACCCATGCCGACACCCCTAACTATAACTACCTGCAGTTTTTGCAGCGCTTCAGGCTTTGAGGCGCAGTGTGCGAGAGGCCAAGTGCGGCAGATCCATTGTGCAGCAGTACTTGGCAGATCCCTTGCTGAACCTTGGAATGTGATGATGGAATCGACGTGTGAGACTTATGCTGTGCCATGCTGTGCCCTTTCAGCTAACAGTGATGTGTTTGGTTGCAGTTCATTGACGGTTTTGACAGTCTTGTTTTTTCTTAGGATTTTTTGGGGTGCCCCATGTTTAACCAAAAAAATGGTTGACTATGGTTATGATTGACATTGATTGACTAATTATGATTGGTTAATTATGAGTGGTTGTTTTTTTCAGCACAGCTGTGTCACCGCAGATTGGGCCGAGGATTGGGGGCTACAAATTTCACATGCGCATCCATTTGGTCATCACCAACCTGTCCCCCCTTGAGGCCTGGAACAGGAACTTGGAGGGCTGAGAAATGTAAAGCAAAAGCTTGGAGAAAGATGGCTTTGTCTGAGAATTTGGTACCTCAGCATCCGTTTACTACTACCATGTTCCCATTTAAAAAGATACGATTTTGGGACAACCAACCATTTTCAGGCACAACCATATCCCCTAAGTTTAACCAATCATGGGGAAACCAAAACGCATGGGCACTTGCTGCAAGTCTGGATGGGGGATATTTCGAAAGATGACGAGGTTTCCAAAAATTGATTGGACTCAAAATACGATGCCGTAGCAACAGAAACACTATAACATATGAAATAGATGAACTAGAATTTAATTAGGAACTTTTTTTAATCCACTACAACTCGACTTCTCTCATGGGCATTATTTAGGTACCAGGAGCTATTTGTTTGTTTCCGCAATTAGTTGTGTGAAGCCGGCTGCTTGGTTATTCCTATGTAACAGTACACGTTTCCTTGCGTGGGCGCATGTTTATCTCACGACTCACGACAGTATATATACTGTAGAACCCTCAAAAAGATAGACAAGTAAGAATGCGTAATTTGAGTAGGATTGTACTTGTCTATTTATGGGGGTTGATATGCATGTTTACCCTCCGCATCCCTACCCATAGTATTTATCACCAGATGTAAATGAGCACCGTTCACTTGTCTTGCCTTAGTTGAAGGACCTAGTCCTACCTGAAACAACAACAACCAACCAGCCAGCCAGCCAATCAACCAACCAACCAAAACAAACAAGCAAGCAAGCAAGCAAGCAAAGAAACAAAGAAACAAACAAACAAAGAAACAAACAAACAGGCAAGCAGACAAACGAACGAACGAACAAACAAACAAACAAACAACAACAACAACACAAAATCACAAACAGAAACCTACATGCAAAAGCTTGCACGTATCTGGTTTGTCTGTAAAAACTGGCCACGCTGCTTCGGTTTGAAAGCCCCCCCCTTGAATCATCTCCGTTCACCCCAAGGGACAACCTCACCCTGGGTAACGGGAAGACAAAAACGAGAAAATGAGAAATGGATAGAAATGCTTGGTTTATGATGGATAAATATAATAAAAAAGTGCCTGTGTGACATATAAAAAAATCAAGTTGTGTATGTTTAAACGTTGTTGTGCCCCGTTAATTTTGTGATGTAAAGCTTGGGAAACGTCAAAACCAGCAGAAGACGATACAGATGCTAAGATTCTTATCGTCTATATGTGTGTTTAACGTATATATATATATGTACATTTAGCTGATTTTCTAAAAAATATAACCACCAACAAAGCAATTTATTGGTACTTATTCTTGACCATCTATAAAAGTAACATGCATATCATTGCACATCTATATACGTCATAGTCTTTCATCATTTTATTGATATCTGCATTGTTTTTGTTCATAGTTTTTTCAGAGCAACGATTTATATATATATATATTTATTTATATCTATCTATCTACCTATCTATCTATCTATTTATCTATCTATCTATCTATCTATCCATCTATCTATCTATCTATCTATCTGATTAATTTATCTATCTGATTAATCTATCTATCTATATATCTAATTAATCTTTCTATCTAATTAATCTATCAATCAATCAATCAATCTATCTATCTATCTATCTCTCTATCTATTTGTGTCTTGAAAAAAGAGATTTGGCCTATAGATCCACCAGTATGCTGGGGGATACAATCAATGGAAAAGTGACTACTGTTTCTTTAATAGCAACTAGATACTTAGATAGACAGATAGACAGATAGGTCTTGAAAGAGATTTGGCCTATATAGATCCACCAATATGCATGGGCGTGGTGAAAATGTCACACACAAGACCAGAAACAAAGCGACAACGAAGCGGCAGAAAAGTTGAAACCACGACAAAGAATCAGAATCCGGGCCTCTACAAAATCCAACAGAGAATTTTGTTGATTTTGAGACCCAAAACAAAGGATTCTCTACAAAATCCAATTGTCTCTGGGATGACTTTTGTGAATGTATTTGAACCAAGTTTAGTGCCTATATATATAGCAAGTGGATTTCCATGATTTGGATTTTGTAGAAGCGCCGGATGCCCAGGTCCCAGCGAACGTATGCAAAAGTGGGGTTGGGTGTTTGGATTTTGTAAGCCTTAAAGTTTCCTGTTCAAATGCTATGTTTTTGGTTTTGTAGAGGCCGTTTTGGTGTTTTCCCCCAACCCCGCCAGGTCAATTTTTTGGGGTTTTGGTCTTCTATGTTTTGTTCGTCAAATTTCTGTAGATTATACCACTTATATAATAAGGTAAACCGCCATTAAGCGCCCATTAAATCCCACTATTTCATGGCAATCCCATGTTTTCTCATCCATTTTGAGGACAAATCAGGGCAGCATCTCCTGCTTTCGAAACGTCGTGGCATATCGTAACATGTCGTGACTCCGTGAGGCTTTCGTGCAGGAGAACGGGCAGTGCCTCTTCGCCACCAAACCCTATCGCCTTTCCGAGAAGACCTTGGGGATGAGCTTTGATCCTCCAGTGCATGTGACTCGGCCGATGGCTGAGATTTGAATGAAAAACGGGGAGTCCATGTTTCGTCCAATTGGGGAGTTGCCCTAGGGCCTAGGGTAAATTAAGATGTGGAAACCCCATGGTTTCCCAAGGAACAAGATCCACAAATGGTGGGGTTTCCACATACTGTATAATACTTTAGTTTATTCTAGGGTAACCAATAAGAAACATGGACTTAAACCAAACACCCAAAATTGGAGGTAACCAACAAGAACTTGAGAGTTTCTTAATCAAACAAATTGGGAATTTGGGCTGCTGATCAGAATAAAAATTGAGCCAGATGCGTTCCCCAAGGGATAGAGAGTGCAAGTCTATTTGATGAAGATAAGCCGGCTGGTCTTTGTCTTCGCTATCCTCGCGTATAGATGTTGTATGATGCTAGCATGTGTCACGTTCAATGAAAACATGTTTGTAAATTTTGGGGAATCATCCATAAGGTGAGGACATTTTCATTAACAGACAAGATATGATAGGATATTGATATAGTGTCAGATTGGGATGGTCTCGCAGGTGACCAACATGGGTTTGAACGCCATTGCCGAAAACAAAGAAAACTTCTTGAAGGACCCTGATTCACAGCTGATTGCTGATTCACATCCGAGAACTGCCGCCTTGGGACTTCCACCCAGGGTGTTGCTTGATTTCTCGGAAGACTTAAAGCTTGCTACTTAAATATCAAAACCATCAGCTGCCTTTTATTGTTGCAGATATTTGTGCTGGACATTGAACAGTTTCCTCCTTCAACATAATTGTTAATTGGAAACAGTATAAGGGGTGACGCTGCCAACTGCAACAAAATCACTTGCAATCATCTCGCACGGGCTTCCAGCGGTCTTGATGCACAATTAGTAATAGACACGATGAAACAAGGCTAGAAAAAATAGTAAATATAGATTATAGAATAACCCAACATGTAGATCTGGTTGGTGTTTTTTTCTCCATATATTGGGAATGTCATCATCCCAACTGACTTTCATATTTTTTCAGAGGGGTAGGTCAACCACCAACCAGAGATATGTAGCTATTACGACTTGAGTAAAACTGACTGCTTTGATATCATACCTACATATCGTAATATCACTCAGTCAGTATGTATTACATATCGTTATCATACTGATTTGAGTAATACTGACTGATTTGGTATTACATTATGATTATATCGGTCGTGTTTCGGATACCACTCAGCCAGCTGCCAGGAGAAGCCGGTGATCGGCAAGGGGCAGCAGATCCGTGTGCGAGAGCTCATGGCTCACCTGGCGGCTCAGAAAAACATGCCCCCCCAGCTTCGGAAGCAGAAAAAACTATGGATGCAACAATGGTGATTTAACATATTTAACCAACAATGCGGATTAAAATAGGGATATCATTGGAATTTACATTGGATATCATGGAATTTAGCCTTTGGTAATTTCACGGTTTGCTATGGAAAGTCACCATTTTTCATAGGTATATAAAGTAAGATAAATACACATACATACATATACATGTATATACTGCATTAATATATATATATATGTTTTTACATTTATTATATAGATCATCTATAAATTGGCAATTTTCCACAGCATCTAAGAAGGAAGTTGCTGAATTTGACTGGTCCCTTTTTTTGGAGGAAAGGTCATGCCAGTCATGCCCGTCCTCGTTGCTTGAAATGAAATTGGTCGCCTCATATCATGTTAGATCATTTCTTTTTTTATGGAGGTTTCCTAAAATAGGGCTTCCCTTAGATCATCCATTTTTTTTGACCATGTACATCCATTTACCATGTTCGTAATGAAACCGAAATCTTTGGTTTTGGGGATTCACCATGTTAAGAACCCCCCACATATTCCGAATCTCTGCCATGGTGATCGCTGTCCAGGCAGGATTGGATCCCAACTTCGACAAGGCCGCGGGGATGCATTCTGCGAATTGAATGTCGTTGATATGATTATAAATTCATTATGACTCATCATGATTCATGGTGATTCATCATGATTCATTGTGATTTATTATGATTCATCATGATTCATGGTGATTCATCATGATTCATGGTGATTCATCATGATTCATTATGATTCATTGTGATTCATCATGGTTCATTATGATTCATCATGATTCATGGTGATTCATCATGATTCATGGTGATTCATCATGATTCATGGTGAATTAGTATGATTCATCATGATTCATTGTGATTCATCATGATTCATTTCGATTCATCATGATTCATTGTGATTCATTATGATTCATCATGATTCACTGTGATTTACTATGATTCATCATGATTCATTGTGATTCATTATAATTCATTGTGATTCATTGTGATTCATTTTGATTCATCATGATTCATTGTGATTTATTATGATTCATCATAATTCATTGTGATTTATTATGATTCATCATGATTCATTGTGATTCATCATGTTTCATTATGATTCATTGTGATTTGTCATGATTTATTATGATTCACTAGGATTCTGCGGTCCAATGGTAGTTACATGTAGTTACCTGGTAGTTTTAGGTCTGGTCGCTTCGAGGCATTCCAAGGAATCCGGCCCAGGCAGCCATTTGGCAGCAAATCCTGGACATTGGACTGGAAACTGCTGAGTACATTGCGCATGCCACCGGAAGGCGTTTCAAGCTGCTGCCGGATCGGCACTTCGATGCTTGGCCATCTTGGCCATGCACGGGGCCAGTGGCGTGCCCGCAGGGCCCGCAGCTTCGGCCGTTGTCGTTTTCGGCCACTAAGGAAATCTTTGGAATGGATCTGATGCTGGACAAAAAGATGAAGGTTTGGATGTGTGAGGTGAATACAGATCCTGGACTGGGTTATCCCGACAAAGAAGCTCCGTGGCTACGGTTCCGTCAGGTCGACTTTGTTGTGCTGGTTGGGTGACAGGTGTTGGTGGTCAGCCTGTATTTTCAGTACTAGCTGTGGAGTCGCGTGTCCCACTGTTCCAAAATCTTCAGGTTTTGGGATCCCCGAATCCGGACTACAAGATGCTTGGCTCAAAGGGATTGGCTCAACTTCCCAATGCCCGAAAAAAACTGTGAAATTTGGGGATACCTTGGGATGAAACGAAGGAATTTCATGAATTGCAACCTACAAAAACACTACGTGTCCGACATGTCCATCATTTTAAATCTTTGATAAGTCATGTCACTCGCTGCCAGCTATTCCACCCATGACTCACCATGACCGTCTCCTCGCCATGGCTTCACCGCGCGCGTCACAGGAAGGAACTCACGGCTTGCGCCGAGACGTTGCACGACCTCTTCACTTTGCTGGGCCTCGATGCGGGCGCTGAGCAAGGCCAAGGTGCCACCACCGGTGACCGGTGCCCCCACAATGAATAAAGCATTACTGACTAATCCGGGGTTGACATTAAACATGCTGGAATATATGTTATTATATAATATTATATAAAATTGTATAATTATTTTGAGAAATAGTGATCCTGTTTTATTATTATTTTTTTGATGTATGTATCATACAACTATGATTGTATAAATTGATGTTGAAATAGCTCGTGATTAGTTTTTTTTTTAATGTTGATGACACGCAGATGGTGTGTTTTCGTTTAGGTTCGATTCGATTTTAGATGTTCATGACCCGCGGCTTGTGTGCTAAATTATTTTGAACATCTCAACTGTTGACGACCTACAATTTGGTTTGTGCTGCTTGAGTAATTCAGATCCCTCGGAGATTGGCAGCGCTTCTAGATCTTTGGGTTGCACCAACAATTCACCAGTCAGTTTAATCACACGTTGGGCGTTGGCTGTGAACCCGTTGTGCAGCGTTTCCCGCTGCAGGACAAAATTGATTTCATTAAAAGTACCGTCACATGGGTTTTCCCAGTTTTGTTTCTGAGAGTGCTTGCTTAATGTAAACCCAATTTAACTCAATGATTAACCTCGAAATGTTGATGGTTGATAGTTGATACCATGGATTTCTTGCAATATTGTTATATAAGATGGTTGATTATTTGGTTTGCTACATTGCCTTGAACATTTGAACCATGTAAATTATGGCGATTGAAGGGATATGCCGACAACATTTTGCAACACCTTTGCGCTATTTGTCCACTGTACTATATATCCTTGGAGGAGGCAAGCAAGTGCCACAATTTCGGAAAGAACTACAATCCTTTCAGTTGGTTGTTTTGATGGTCCAGGGATATCACTCCCCGGAACCTGGTCGAATACGGTATTCAGTCCCAATCACCTGGCCTAGAGGCATTCATCACTCCCAATCACCAACTTAGAAGAGGCATTTGCTGGATTTTGGTGCAGACTCGCAGGCCGATTGCCTTCAAAAGCCAGGTTCTTTGCGTCACTGGTTTAAGCTGCAGAGGAAGGCGCTGAAGTGAGACCGTCCAAAATCTCTTGGTACAAATAGGCAGATTTTCTTCGGATGCGAGAAAGTGGTTGGTGCCCTCAAGGGTCTTCAAGAGGAAATGATCGATTTCAGGGGGTACATAAAACAATCTTTAGAGAAAGAGAGAGAGAGAGAGAGAAAACAAAAAGAGGAAGATAAGTTGCATTTGGTTGCAGAACGTTTTCACAAAAAAAAAACAAGAATAGCGGGTTTCCATCACCCACATCAATGTGCACGTGGAAATCCCACAAGTTTGTTCCAGGCCAACCACTTTCAAAGCACATGTGGAAGAAACTTGTATTCTTGACATATTCTTGACATATCTTGACCTGTTTGGCAGACAGGCTGTCAGATGGTAACGTTTGTGCATGCCTTTTGTTTGGCCCTTTTGTTTCACCAAAATGTTGGGTGAAACGGGGCCATTTGCCATTGCTGTGGATGGTTACATTTGAACCTGGACCTGGCAATGCAGACATGTGGAATACACAAGTCACCTGGCAGAGAAGCCCAGTTCTCGCCTGCTGGCGCGACAGATGTCCCAAAATTATCCGACTGCTACTGAAAAACAAGATGTCATATCTTTATAAATCGTTTGGATGAATTCATGTTTATGGCACTTCAATATTTTTATCACGGTGTTCATTGATAAGCCGTGCTGTGATTCAGAGTCATCATGAGGTATTGCTCTTACGTGCGCGAGCCAGCCAAGTCGGGGCAAAACTGGGCAGGCCTACCCTTCAAGAATTTCACATGGAACCGGCACAAACATGTTTTCTTTTCCCCAGATGGTTTTTCTCTCCAACATTGCCCATGTTGATCCATGCTTATCCATTTTCTGAGGGTCCATTGGCCATGTGAAATTTTGAGGGTCCAATCCCGTACGCTACATTTCTTCCACAAAGTTGCGGCAAAATTTGAAGAGCCGCAGCTTCCGGAAGCTTCCATGGCTCTCCTTTGAAATGGGGCTGGATCAGCGGCCGCTCTTTCCGAAACAGCTGCGCCACCCTACCGGAGACCCACCGGAGGGTTGGTGGTTTGCTGATGGCTCAAAATTGGCCAACAATCCAAGGGCGAGAACCGCGGCGGCTCAGTTGTTGAAATCATCTCGCTTCACCTGGTGAGCTGATCTGATTGGGAGAGCGGGCACCATGTCCATTGTTATGTGTTGCCACCGTGTCGCATCCTATCTTGGCACATTGATGTGACTGTCAGACACCTTGACCATGGTTTGCAACGTATGTTTTAACCAATATAAGTCGGACGATTAACTAAACATCCAGCAAGACTATGCTAGATACTGTACATGTCTTGCATGGGTGTCGCAAATCTTGTTCTGATCTGTAAGTAAGTATACCGGCCCCAACTGTTGCGCATGTCTTGTCTAGAAGCCAATGAATCTTTATGTTGTTCATATACGTGGCGTACAGTATACTTTATAAATAGTTAATTTCTGGTATGGCCTGTTTCATGTAGGTTTCATCAAATGACTAACCTGGAAGCTGAAAAAAAACGGCTTCCACGTTACCTAGACGGATAGTATTTCTATATATTATAAGTATACATATATGTATTGATAATTATGTATATATACAGTATATTTATACAAATGAAAAAACGTATACATACATACATACATACATACACACATACACACATACATACATACATACATACATACACACACATACATACATACATACATCCATACATCCATACATCCATACATCCATACATCCATACATCCATACATCCATACATACATACATACATGCCATTACATACCATTACATACCATTACATACCATTACATTACATTACATTACATTACATACATACATATATATATATGTATATGTATGTATATATATATATATATATGCATATATATATACATATATATACACATATATTTATATATTCCATAATATTAATTTGGGTAAACTATAGTGACCTCACGTCGTGACCTCACTGGAATCATGGTTAGGATTCCGGTTTTTTTCATATTTAAATTAAATGGCCTCACTATTCAGGTTCGTGAAATATTGTAATTTACCCAGATTCATCTATTCCATGATATTCCATGGTATTCAAAATACTTATGTTTATAAATATTTCATGTATATCCCAGATACTTGTATTCAACTATATACTAATATTCCATGTATATATGTACCAGTAGTACCGCACAAGGCGGTGGCGGAAGTTTCCAAAAATAGGAAACCTATAGGAGAGGTTGGTTGTTGTGAATCAGGGATGGCAGAGCGAAGCCACTGATGGACTGACTGAAAGGTGCTTGAGGTCTCCTCTCTTTCTCTTTCTTTCTCTCTTTTTCTCTCTGTTTCTCTATCTTTCTCTGATTATCTACCTACCTACCTACTGACCTATGTGTTTACCTATCTATTTGTCTGTCTGTCTATCTATCTGTCTCCCTATCTATCTATCTACCTATCTATCTAGCTGTCTAGTTTTCAAGCTATTTGTCTATCTATCTATCTATCTACCTACCTACCTATCTTATCTACCTTATCTATCTTATCTATCTTATCTATCTTATCTATCTTATCTATCTTATCTATCTTGTCTATCTAATCTATCTTATCTATCTTATTTATCAAATTTATCTTATCTATCTTATCTATCTTATCTATCTTATCTATCTTATCTTTCTTATCTATCTTATATATCTTATATATCTTATCTATCTATCTGTCTGTCTATCTATCTATCTACTTATCTACCTATCTACCTATCTACCTATCTATCTATCTACCCATCTACCCATCTACCTATCTACCTATCTACCTTTGAATCTATCTATCTATCTATCTACCTAACTATCTATCTATCTATCTATCCATCCATCTATCTATGTATCTCTATTTCTTTCTATCTATCTATATTTCGATCGATCTATAGATCTATCGATCTTTCGGCCTATCGACCTATCGATCTATCTATCTATCTATTTATCTATCTATCTATCTATCTATCTATATTATCTATTTTATCTATCTTATCTCTCTTATCTATCTTATCTATCTTATCTATCTTATCTATCTTATCTATCTTATCTATCGTATCTATCTTATCTATCTTATCTATCTTATCTATCGTATCTATCGTATCTATCTTAGTTATCTTATCTATCTTATCTATCTTATCTAACGTATCTATCGTATCTATATATCTTATCTATCTTATCTATATTATCTATTTTATCTATCTTATCTATCTTATTTATCCTATCTATCTTATCCATCGTTTCTATCTTATTTATCTTATCTATCTTATCTATCTTATCTATCTTGTCTATCTTATCTATCTTATCTATCAAATTTATCTTATCTATCTTATCTATCTTATCTATCTTATCTATCTTATCTATCTTATCTATCTTATCTTTCTTATCTTTCTTATCTATCTTATATATCTTATCTATCTGTCTATCTATCTACTTATCTACCTATCTACCTATCTACCTATCTACCCATCTACCTATCTACCTATCTACCTATCTACCTATCTACCTATGAATCTATCTATCTACCTAACTATCTATCTATCTATCTATCTATCTCTCTATCTATCTATCTATGTACCTACCTACCTATCTACCTACCTACCTACCTACCTATCTATCTATCTATCTATCTATCTCTCTACCTGTCTATCTGCAAGCCTGAAAACCAAGCTATTCTGCGAGATGTCTTCATTGTTCAAAGTTGACAACATCAAAAACGAAGCAATTCTGCGAGACTTCACTTCCTCAATGTTTGAACTTGACAACGTCAAAAACGAAGCAATTCTGCGAGACCTCTTCATTTTTCAAAGTTGACAACATAAAAAACGCAGCAATTCAGCGAGACTTCCTCAATTTTTGCATTTGACAACATCGAAATCAAAGCAATTCTGTGAGACTTCCTTAAAAAATAGAAAGTTCAGTGCAGCGCTGACAGCCTCGTACCAATGCGTTTTGCGATTTTTCCACTCCACCTGTCTAAAGTACTGCGCCTGCCACGAAAAAGTGATGCCAGGTCATACGAGGTGCTGCACCTGTCACGCAAAATCATCTTAGCAAACCTACAGATCTGATGCTCCAAAATGCAACCCCTCGCAGGAAATCGGCGCCCTGACCTCCTAACATCTCTCATGAACACGTCTTTTGTACTGCGCCTGCCACGAAAATGCATCTTTGCAGATCCTCTTCAAATGTCCCATGCCTGCCATCATTCTTGGAAATGCTACCAAAACCCCCACGTTTTGGTCACTTTTGACAAGGTGCACAATCCCCTGCGCCTGCCACGCGAAACGACATCTGAACCTCCAAAAATGGTCCGTACATGGTGTGTTTTGTACATTTTGACTTGGAAATGTGCTTCGCGCCACAACGGCGTGCACTTTTTCGACATCTCAACTTCCAAAAGTGGTCCGGAGCTGGTGTGCTTTGTACATTTTGACTTCGAAATGTGCTTCGCGCCACAACGGCGTGCACTTTTTCTACATCTCAACTTCGAAAAGTGGTCCGGCGCTGGTGTGTCTTCTACATTTTGACTTGGAAATCTGCTTCGCGCCACGACGGCGTGCACTTTTTCTACATCTCAACTTCCCAAAGTGGTCCGAACCTGGTGTGTCTTGTACATTTTGACTTGGAAATCTCTTCGCGCCACAACGGCGTGCAATTTTTCATCCCGCACCCGCCGCTTTAGCGAGCCTACTTTCGGGCCCTCCGGAGACACAAATCATTGGAAAAACACAGTGTTTCGCGACTTTCCTACCTTTTCGCGCATCTGCATCGTCTTTCTTCTGACTCTTTCTCTTCTACTCTTCTCTCTTCTAATCTTTCTCTTCTCTCTGCCTCTGCCCTGCTCTGCTTTTGCTTTTCATCTGTCCATATTGTCGGAAGTTTGACTTCTAAACTTCCTTCGATCATATATCTATATATTCCATGCTAATTACATCATTTCAACGTCCATTTCTTGGTGTCCCCAGCATCCATCATTCCGCAGGACGTGTGCCGCCAAGTGGACACGGAAAAGGCCAAGATGTCCCAGGTGGGCCGCAGCTTGAACGGCCTCACAGTGATTTATCGCGGAAAGTCTCCAAACAATGCCATTCTCCCAACAGTGTGTTAATGTTGGGTGGGTTACCCTATGTTTCCAGAATTCCTACTAGTTTTTTTTCGTGCATTACTTCGTTGCCTATGTTTCCAGATCTAATTGTGTAATCAAACCCTTCTATTTGGACCCCCCTGCCTCACAAAGAACCGCATCGTATCCCAACCTGCCAGGCCCAAAACGATTCGCTCGAAGCAGCGCGGCAGTCGTTGGAAGACTGGCAGGTCCTGGCTGCGCCGCAGTAGGGCTGTTTGAAGTGGTAAATCTGGAGAGCTGAATGCTGAACTAGTTAATTGTACAATATAACTAGTTAGCGGCCACAGTGCTGTGCTACCATGGGTTTTGCCCGCAACAGGTACCACTGGTGGTACGAGAACATCTCCTGAAGTTCACTTGGATGATTTGATAATATCACATCACAATGCTTGATGTGGCGGAAGTCCTCTGTGAAATTCACAATTTTTCTTTCTCAAATATGTGCAAATTTATTTGCTGAGGCTGAGACTGCCCCATTGTTTTGTTTTTCAGATGTTTCAAGTGCCGTGCATTTGGTGGTTGAAGAAGAAGATGGTGGCTTAGGACGCTACGTTTCTTAGTTAAAATTGCCACAATGTGGTGCCCTCCTATAACAATTTTGCGTGCAAGCCCATTTAACACCACTGTCTCCGGCCACAGGCCGAGTTCGACTCCCTGCAGGCTCCCGATCTCTCGCCACAGGATGACTCCGTGGCGGCCGTGCTGAGGGAGGCGGATAGAGCAGGGGGTTGTCATAGAAAATCTTGGGAAAACTCCTGTAGATCCACAATGATCCACAGGTGAATCACGTCTTCCCTACAACAAACTGCCATTTTGGGGGGCTATAGTGTCTACTTCTGCGCAAAGCCACAGAGTTTAGTTTGCATCAAATTGGAACTAAACCAAATTGAGCGCATGGATGCCCAGCAATTCATGGGAATACATGTGATTTCCTACAGTGGAGACATGAGTACCGCTGCTGGTGTGTCTCAAGAGTGTTCAAAAACAAGGAGCCAATTTAGAAATGCAAATGCCACACAGAGCCCCCTGCTTCTTCAAATCGATGCTGTGCATCATGATCTATATTCTCCGGTAATCTATGACTATTCTGAGTTGGGAGATGCTGGGAGTAGGAAATCTTCAGTTTAATTCCAAGGACATTGTTTGCAGGGGATCCATCCAGCCATCCTTTCAGGTGGAGGCATCTTCGAAGGAGGGGGAACATCCACAGCTGTTGGCCCATGCCTAGCAGAGTGTTGGAGTTCAAGTAGAATAGAATATGTTTTAATATGTTTTAATATGTTGTTTTAATATGTTTTAATATGGTTTAATTAATGGGATGCAGTTGCGCCCCATGCCGAGTGCAGATCGTCTCCAGGTTTTAAAGGGACACCGATGCATGCCCATGCCTCGTATCGTCTCGTTCCTTGACAGGCGTGAACGAGGATCCGGCAGGATCCAGCGCCAACTGATGGTGTTGAGAACAAAAAGGGCAATGGCTGCCTTTGATGCCCTATGTTGGGTTTGCGAAAAGAAGGTGGAACGGACAGTCCCAAATCCGGAAATGTTCCTCATCATCATAAGAACCGTATGTACATATATATATAATATATATATATAATAACCATCTTCGGGTGCTCTACGACGGTATAAGCCCTGTAATCAAAGTTCCATGATGGTCAGTTGCTGCAATTCGAATTCTTTCTTTGTTTTGTTTTTTGGAATCTCTGTCTCTCTTTCTCTCTCGAGATCTCTTTGTCTCTCCTCTTCTTACACGTGCTTAACGCAAACAATTTGTTTTCAGACTTCCAGTGACTTTCGCCAATGTTTGTCAATCATATAAATGCCTTCAAGAGGGGGCTGACATTTGTTTAACATTTGAAGTGTGCAGTTCCAAAATGATGTGATATTTGTTCGTTGGGATAACGGCCTAACGGTATAACTCACTTTAACAATCAGCCCCGGATGTACTGGATCAGTTCCTGGAGAAGCCCTTTGGGGAACGTTCTGCAGGCTACCCACTGCGGCAAGACGATTCTTTGCTTCCGCAGCACAGGGTGGCCAACCAGCACTAGTCTTCAGGAGGGTTGGCAAGTTGGCAAGTTCCAAGTCTGCAGTGCTGTAAAAATTGGAATTTTGGGACCTTCCAGGAAATCAACATAGATAATTACGGAGAATTATGGGAAGCAAAAGGAAAGTGTTCTATATATATATATATGTATACATGTAAAAAGCACTTTCCATTTGCTATTTAATGATTAATGGAAAAATAAAAACAATCACCTTTTTTTTAAGGAAAAGTAGGATATATATATATTGTTCCCATTCATATAAATGTTTTTGTGTCGTTTTTTTTTCCATTTGTTTCCTCATGTATTTAATCCTAATTTAATGGTGAATAGGTGATAGTAGGTAGGTGTGGATGATGCCGCAGTGTCAGTGATTTCTTGAATGGATCATCTTGTTGGGGAGTCATTCCTTGAAAGGGCAAGGTTCAAGTCCCAAAATGTTCCGAACATCGGTGCATTGTAGGCAACCTGTGAACCCTTGGGTGGTCGACAGGTGATTATCAGGTTGGACCTTGATCAAGCAAGTTCTCGACAAAGCCCAGGTGGCGCTCCTTTCAGGTCTCTAGATTTTTTTACACATTGAGATCTGGCGCTGGCGGTTGAGGTTCGGCAGTGCCCATGTCAGAGAGAATGTCAGACTGCTTGTAGATGCCAGAGAGAATGCCAGACAGAATGCCAGAATAGATGCCAGATAGAATGCTGGAATGAATGCCTGAATAGATGCCAGATAGAATGCCAGAAAGAATGTCAGATAGAATGTCAGAATATATATATATATATACATATTATGCTTTATTATGCCATAAATACTTCCAGATGGTATGCCAGAAACTATGTCAGAATAGTGTGTAAGGGCGGGGATCACTCGAAGAAAGTACCGTAATTGTTTGGGGGTCTGGCCCACGCCTCATCAGAGATCAACAACATGATAACATGTGTGCATCCTTTTGTCAACTCCATCCCCCAAATTAGATAAATTTAGCCTAAACTATCTTAAACTATTCATGGTTCAAACAGGCTCCAACAGGTGTTTCTAACTTGTCAACATGAGATAAATGGTATCATCGTACTGTGAGCCGCCCGAGGCACTGCAAAGACGCGGTCCACGTGGTGACTCGGATGCCGATGACATGGTCCGCGGAGATCATTCTGCAAATCTTTGACTGAAGATGAAACGATCACAATAGGGCAACATAGGGCAACAGGGATAATAGATGATACTAGGGCACAAGAAAAAAATACGAGACATGCAATGATTCCAGAATTTGGAGAGCTGCCAACTTCTCGGACCAATGGACCACTCGGCTTGGGCTCCAGCCAGTGGAAGACCCACCATTTTTCAGGGGTATTGTTTGGAGGGTCTTTGCTGTTTTTTTGGTTTCAATGTGCTTGTTGTCTTGCTCGTACCAACTCATGGGCCGAGGGAGATTGTATGACTGTTAGTCAATGCAGAAAACACCCCAAACCTGGGGTAGGTGAACATCCCAAATTCACCCGTTCTTTGGTGGGATGCTAAGGCCTGGGCTGCCTCCAGTTGTTTGGCTCATTTTCCTGCTACGCCTGGCTATGGCTCAAGATGATATGACCCCACAATAGAAACGAACTTATTTCCACCGATACCTGCATTTACAAGTTCTTCTTTGGCCTCTAAAAAACAAACAACATCATTTTCTATCAGACTTCTTTGGCTCAGCCCACCCATCAACCATAGATTTCATTGGAACATATTGGACCCCGATTTGTTCAGGTGCATGTGAACAAACACACACAGATATACAGTAAATATTATGTATATATATATATATGTAATGTAACAAAATGTAATGTAATGTAATTTAATGTAATGTAATGTAATGTATTGTATGTATGTATTTTTTGCACATACACACACATACATACATACATATATACATACATACATACATGCATACATACATACATACATATATACATCCATCCATCCATCCATCCATCCATCCATCCATCCATCCATCCATCCATCCATACTACATACATACATACAAGCATGCATGCATGCATACATACATGCATACATGCATACATGCATACATGCACACATGCATACATACATACATGCATACATGCATACATGCATACATCCATACATCCATACATCCATACATCCATACACCCATACACCCATACACCCATACACCCATACACCCATACATCCATGCATCCATACTTCATACATCCATACACCCATACACCCATACACCCATACATCCATGCATCCATACTTCATACATCCATACATCCATACATCCATACATCCATACATCCATACATCCATACATCCATACATCCATACATCCATACATCCATCCATCCATCCATACATCCATACATCCATACATCCATACATCCATACATCCATACATCCATACATCCATACATCCATACATCCATACATCCATACATACATACATACATACATACAGAGAGAGAGAGAGAGAGCAAGGTATCCCACTGAAAGTTGAATCTCCTCAGCTTAAGACATGCCCAAAATGTCACTGTCATCTCAATCTCACCCCAGGTTTTGGCCAACCGCTTGGAGCGCAAGCCTCAATCCAGCACCAGCTTGGAGGTTTTTGAGGATTCAAGTTTGAGACACACCCCATGTTAAAATATATCCTAGTTTAAATGGCCGATGGAGAGAGAAATGGCACCCAAAAACCTTGGCTTTGCATTGGATTGGACTTGTTTTGAGGTTTTTTTTCCGGGTAGGTTGTTGGATTTAGATAAATCTATCATCTAACTAGGCTAGGGTGATAAATTGACGAACAGATGTTTCAGCCACATACATATACATATATATATATATACATACATACACATATAATTATTATTGACCTGACGAAGCTAATTTCCACTGTGGTAGGAAGCCTAAGCAGATAAACCAGCTAAAATCAGACATTAAGAGCCATAAAACCAGCTATATCCAGCGCAGCCTCTGAGGCCGACCCGAAATTTGCTGGTGCTGAACTTTGATTTCGCACCCCTTGAGGCCGTTGCGGAATGTTGTTTGCCGCAATGATTGGCGCGTTATATGCAGATCTGATTTGATGATTCTGATGGTGTCAAATATGTTGCTTGTGGCCATAAAACGGGATGATAATCCCTAATGACATCTACTGACAAATATTTGCCAGATGGGTTGAAGTCGCCAGCAGGTTGTTTTTGAACGTATTGGATGTTGGTTATTGCCAGGTTTTCTTGGCAGTTGGCCTTGTCCCCAGTATCTTGAGGCGCCGTGTTGATGCTGGGGATGTGCAGAGTTTGGCTCGTTTGTTGTTCAATTGAATGCTAACTACTAATACTATTGCCACTACTACTGCTGCTGCTGATGATTATGTGCTCAACATACTAGTTTTTTTGGTACGTATACATTTTCTCGCGAAGACATTTTTGGGGCATATTTCTGTAAATGTATGTGCACACACACACACACACGTTCTAGTCTTTGTGTCTCCCTCATTGGTGTCACCCTCATTCCGGGGAGTGAACCATTTCAATGGTAGCCTTCAAATCCCTTCAAAGACTTTGATCTCCGTTGTAAATCCTCATAAATCATCATGAATCATCTTAGATCATAAATTGGCCATGGCTTCCATAGCTATCTCAAGTACAGTAACCAGAGGCTGTCCATTTCTACTGTCGCCAGTAACAGGTTTTTTCAGCGCGATGCCGTGGCCTTGACCAACGCCCCCCCAGTGCTGGAGGATGAGGAGCGGATTACCTTTCACGGCACCCTCAGAGAGAGAGGGAGAGAGAATTGTCACTGGTGCGTTGCCCTGGTCAGTCTGTCAGATTTTTTGGGATATATTTAGTATATCCCACCTATATATACATGAGGCATGAGCATGGCTATGACCTCTAAAACCATCATAAACAAGTTATTGCCCGATCGCGCCGGGGCGGCATCTTCACCCAACTTTCAGCTGCGTTTTTCCTCAGCCAACTCGTCTTGCAGTTACATTCTTTCTGAGTTACATTTCTCTGGGCCACATGTTCTACATTTTCCCTGAGCCATTTCTTCAGCCACTTCTTCTCTTTCGTTGCTGAGCTACCTCTTCTCTGAACTGGTCTCATCTCTGAGCTTCTGGAAACCAATTCTTCTCTTTATGCAGATATACGCAGATTTTACGGCAAGTTTAGCAAGTTCCGGTTGCCTTCCAGACACTTCCAGACTGCTGGTAGCACAAGACTTGCACGATCTCCAGAAACTCTGTGCGCAGCGGTTACAGCCAGTGTTTAGCAACCTCCAGGCCCTTAGCACAGGAGCGCATCACATCCTCCGTCAATCCATATTAAGCCATGGTGCGTTTTGCTGGTGCAGCATTTCCCATGTTCTTGTGCAAACTCCTGGAGCCACCCCGAAGAAGGACACGCCAAATCGACACATTACATAGCACAAATCGCTGCGAGTCATTTTCGCGCTAGTCTGAGACCTTCAGTTTCTAACCTCATCTTCAAAAAGTGTTCTGACCATGTGATGGAATGATTTGCGTTTTGCAAAACCGAGTGTCTCACTACAACCCCGGCCAAGCACAGACCCTCTCTTCACTGCGCAACCTGCAAACACACAGTGTCGATTGCGCGGTTGACTCATGTGCACACATCCACACCCAATTTTGCACACTCTATTTCATGCTTCTGATGTTAGCTCTTGCATGAACTTCCCAACTGGTGACGCTTCCTGCGCGGTTGGATTAGTGAGCTGCCAGCTACCGATTAACTTAACATTTGTCCGCAATTCGGATGTATATATGATACAATTATTATACGGTATATATGAATGTATGTATGTATGTATGTATGTATGTATGTATGTGTGTATGTATGTGTGTATGTATGTATGTATGTATGTATGTTATGTTATGTAATGTAATGTAATGTATGTATGTATGTATGTAAGTAATGTATGTAATGTATGTAATGTATGTAATTAATGTAATGTAATGTAATGTAATGTATTGTTTGTATTGTTTGTATTGCTTGTATTGTTTGTATTGTTTGTATGTATGTACGTACGTATGTACGTATGTAGGTATGTAGGTATGTAGGTATGTAGGTAGGTAGGTATGTATGTATGTATGTATGCATGTATGACGTATTTCATCATGTAAACATACATGTATACACAATTTGATGTCCATGCTCTACAGATACATACATGACCAGATGCGTCTCGCCCCAGGAGTCCCGCGAGACGGGGGCATTGACGCAAGATGTGGTGGAGAAGGTGCTTGCTGCAGATGGTTGAAGGGTCTAGGGGTTGAATGCAAATATGGCTATGGATCAATACCTATACATACCATTTTTAGAGGGATGAACATCCATTTACCAGCTATTTTGATGTTCACCAGGGGGATAGGGTTTTGACCCATCCCCATATAATAACATATAATTAATATCCAGATAGATCTGGGTAATTAATGGTAATTATGGATGGGGTCTTCAAGCTAATATACTTGACAATGTGCAAGTGGTGGTTAAAACAGAGGAAAATCGGAAGGTGAACCAGAAAAAAGGTGGATAGCTAGGATGTAAGGATGATACTGATGAGGTAAACCCAGTGCCACCAACCATCCCCAACCGGGGCTTCTGGCATGAAATTGAATATGCCTTTAATTATATAGTTTAACGGAATGACACAAAAATACTTCCTTGGGATGGTTTATGGCAGTGCGGCACTGCCACATCGATGGAGCCACGGGCCTCCATTTCCGCCAGTGTCACCTCAATGCTGACTCCAGAGCCCCAGGTCAGAGGTTGGTAACTGTCCCATTTTGGGTATATTGGACATCACCTAAAAAAGTAGCCATCAAAAAGACCATTAATACCATTCATGGTTGGGTGATGAAAAATGGGGACATCAGTCATGACCCAGGTCTATGCGCAGATCCCGGATTTTTTGACAGTCGACCTGCGCATAGCTTCGCCTGTGTTGATCGCGCGGCAGCCCAGAGCCAGCAATCCTGGTACAGGAGTCCTGGATGTTACATAAGTTGAATGCTGGTTAGATATTCATCCATATCATATATAATAATAATAATATAATATAATATATATATATCCATATCATTTAATATGATTATTATATTATATGATATTACATGATATTATATGATATTGTATTATATCATATTAAATTATAATATATGGCATTATATTATATGATATTTTATGATATTATATGATATTATATGGTATTCTATGAAATTATATGATATTATACTATATGATATTATATTATATTATATGATATGATATTATATGATATTATACGATGTTATATGATATTATATGATATTATACTATGCTATATTATATTGTATTATATTAAACTAAATTATATTATATTTTATTAAATGATATTAAATGATATGATATTATATTATGATATTATATTATGATATTATATGATATTATATTATTTGATATGATATTATATGATATTATACGATATTATATGATATTATATGATATTATATGATATTATATTGTATTATATTATATTATATGATATGGTATGATATTATATTATATGATATTATCTTAATTAATAGTTTATTATATTATATTATATTATATTATATCATATTATATTATATTTTATTATTTGATATTATATGATATGATATTATTATATTATATTATATTGTATTATATTATATTTTATTATATTATATATATTCTATAGATCCATATGTTGTATATATAAATACCTCGTTCAACATGTAGAAACATCCAGGGCCATCCAAGGCCATCCCCAAAATGTCACGCCGGTTGTATTGCAGGGAAAAAAACACGCCAGGATACACCAGGGATGTGCAAATTGCCGGTTGCTTTTTGGAAAAAAACCCGCCTGAAATCTTGAGTAAAAGAAGGGAAAACTTGCAGGAATGTGCAGGAAACCCTCCATATTTCATCCTGTGTCTTGTTTTCGTTCCATGTTTTTGTTCCATTGTTTTGCCATTGCCACCTGTTTTCCATGATGTCCACGTGATTTCTCCCATCGATTTCACCCATCAAAAAACCCTCTCCAGATGAGGTCCCGGCGGGAGAGGGTGCAGCTCGCTTCGGTGCCTTGGGCTGGAATATCATGGAATATCTCTCTGAGAATAGAGCATACCTTCTAAATGGCCGGCCATTGAATGGGGAAACTGATGACCAACCAATGGGTTTCGAGGTACCATATTTTCAGGCAACCCAAATGGCCGAAGATTCTCCAGGGGCTGGCACGAGTCCAAGTTGGATCGAGGGCCCAACTCAGGTGAATGTCCCAAATGGCTTGTGAAGATGTGTGGCATATGGATGCACATGGTCCTATGGTGGATTCTCAAAATGAAGGGGGGCCAAAATGATCCCAAAAAAAAGGGGCCCGCCATAAGATAACCAATCCAATGGTGGACTGAAAATGTTTTGGCCAGCAATAGGGATAGATATTGTATGCATATAGATGCATATAGATGCATATAGATGCATATAGATGCATATAGTACATATAATGCGTGTATGTACATATAGTACACTTATGTATGAAAGGAAATGAAATGAAATGTAAGGTACTACCATGTAATGTAATGTACTGTAATGCACTGTAATTTAACCTAATGAAGTGTAGCGTAAAGTAATGTATTATATGTTATGTTACCTTACGTTGCCTTACGTTATGTTATGTCATGATGTGTGTGTATCTATGTTTTTAGGTGTGTATACTATACACTATCTACTGTACTAATCAGCTCAATTACCATCTGGTTATTTAACATAGCCATGGAAAATCACCATGCTATTAATAGGTAAACCATCTATTTCTATAGGTCATCTATACCATGGCTATGTTAGTCATAACCAGAGGGTATGTTTTTGAGGCTTGGCCATGTTTTTGGGGTCCCTTCCCGCCCCGAGGCTTGGGGCATTTGCACTTGACTTCGACGGAGCCATGCACCTATGGGACCTATGAGCGCTGGAAGTCCAAGGATGAGTTGGATGACGTAACGGTGACGTATGTAGAATGGAGATTTAAGCATTGAACTGATGGGATTTCATGGGATTTGAAGTGTTTTTTTTTAATGGGATCTAAAACTGGGATATGAATGGGTTACCCTCCGGTATTAAGAAACATATGGAATATTGATGAAGATGGCCCATTTCGTTCGATGATAAGTTACCAGGTGGTTTTTGTGTTGGGAGACCCTTGGGAAGATGACAAAAAAACACGATGAATTGTGGTTACCCAACCTCGTAATGACTATATAACAGTTTGCTATTGAAAATGGCTCATTTATGTAATGTTAAGATTTACCTATTAAAAATGGTGATTTTCCAGTTCGCTATGTTAGTTTACAAGAGGTTATTTTATTCACCGTTTATTCACCAGTTCATTGGGTGACTATAGTTTTGGGATGATCACCATCACAATCCATGAGCTGGAAGTCTCCATTAATAGTTAATAATATTGAAATCTTCATGACTTGACCATCAGTACAGTAGGCACAAAGCTGCCCCTGGGATGGGCAATCAGTTTCCTCAGTTGTTTGCCACGCTATTGAACACCCACGGACCCGTGGATGATTGAATATTCTTGACAAGTGACTCAGTGGATGTGAAGCACAACGGCTGTGACTGGTTAAAAGCACTATGGCAAACTCAAATATTTTTTTCCAGGATCTTCTGGAATAGATCCAGCACATTCTCCACCATCTGAGGCATGGATTTTGACTTAGATTTGAAGGACACTTCCCTGCGTCGGGCTGCCCGGGCGCCGTCCTCACAGACCAGCTTATATCATGAGAACCCGCATCAATCACCTTCCATTCATACCAGCAAATTTGAGGGGCAGTTTCTGCTCGTGGTGCGCAATTTCACGTGGCCTGGGTGCCCAGTGGAACAGATGCATGGGATAAAACATTGCCAATATCCATGTGTTCTTTTTTTCAGCACTCCCAATGATGTGACCTTGATTCCCATAATCATCCTATAGTCCTATAACATGAGTGTTTGGGGTTTCTTGTGGAAGTAGTATGATAGTATGGGAGTAGATTTTGGGAATGGGGGTCCCATCATTGGGGGGCCCTATAAATTCATACTTCTAAATTGTTCTAATTTCCACTAATAACATTGCCGTAAATGGGTTGCAACAACCATCCGTACATGGTAGGTATTGGGCATTGATTCTGCCGCATTCTCCTGGGGTAAACCAGCAGTCAGACATCGGAAAGCCATGGTTTCCCTATGACCTGATTTGTATAATATGGTGAATTTTCATTTTCACCGCTTCCTCTATTCCAGTCTTATCTCATTTCGCAGCAAAGCGTCTTTCAAGGGTTGAAGCAGTGTGTGTGTCAACACCCATTGTCACAAGCATGAGGATGTGTTTCCAAGCACACGTGTCTTGGTAGGAATTCCATCATCGAGACATGAGCACGAGAACTCTTAATATCACTTTCCAAGAAGCATTGAATATTCACCAAACCATCCCGAAGTTCTGAGCATTGCATTGATTTATATTGATTTCATGTATTTGTGGTATATCTCTACAAACAATGGGAAACCAAACTATAGGGGCTTCCATCCTGGGTTCAAACAAAAATGTCCTCAAGCTGCTGCGATGTTTGGAGTTTGAGGTGAACCCTTTGCACCTGAACGCCCGCATACAGTCGGGAAGATCCCAGGAGTGGTAGACATGCCCCTGATTGGACGGATTGTGAACTGTGACGGTACATGGATACGTGGGCGTATATGTTTATATATATATGTTTATAATTGTTTATATATATATATACATACGGATATGCTTGTACATGCATACATAAAGACATACATACGTTGCAGTGGCTTCTTTGCCTGCTCCTATCACTGATTCCAAGGCTGCAGCTTTTAGCAGAAGAGACTTTGCTGGACATCAAGGGTCATGTTAGCCAGGCACGGTGCTGGGCCCTGCTGACTTCAATGGCCCCAGAAGTATGACTTTATATGGCTGCTAGCTCAAGGTATAGTACCTCCATTTTAGGATCCTGGAATTCCTATTGGCTTATTGATGGTTCTTCAAATATATATATATATATAATGATCAGAGAAGATGGTTCAGCGCAGAAAAACAGAAATCACAAGACCAAATGTAGCTGATTTCCATCAATAAAAATAACAGGGAAACTAGCCCAACTTCTGATTCTGCTGGACATACGTCAATTTATGTCCGTTTATGCTACTGGGAGAAATAGATGATACAAGCGCTAGCGTTAAGTCGTATCAGCTTGCAAAAGTCGTATCGGGAGGCCGTGCGCCTGGAAAAAGTTCAAGTTTGGCATCACCACAACTTTTAGTATTTGAACGATTTCATTGTTTTGGGGCCGTGCGGCTGGAAAAAGTTCATTTTTTTATTGCGTTGATTTTCAAAAAATATATTTGATTATTCTTTCAAGGGGGCAAACGCTGGTTGCTGCTTGCCTGCTGCTTGCCTGCTGCTTGCCTGCTGCTGCTTGTTTGGCGCTGACGGGAGGTACGGGCGGGAGACACCAGCAGAGAGAGGGAATGTTTCCGGCTGGTTGGAATGAAACACTGCTGTCGCATAGCGCGGTTGTGTCGCTGTGCTCACCATCTGCGCCATCTCGCACCATCTCGCAAGCTGCCCACAACATTGATGCACATCGCCCCAGCCATAGATTTGGTTGCGGAAACAAGGGGCCCCCATATGCTTATATCATCCTAGATCACAGCCCTGCCAATAGGATTTGCTACAATTAGCCCACTTGCATTGCAAGAAATTTGAGGCTGTACCAATAGGGGTTTGATTTGATCGCGCGACGCAGGACATCAATATAATATATTCAAATCCAATAGGATTAGCTGCCGAGAATTTGTTTGTATTAACTTGTGCCCTTCAAAATCATCACTGTGCGCAATGCTTCGGCTACTTTTAACTACATCTCCAAGTATAGATGAAACAGGCTGTGCCATGGTGATTCTTCTTCCCTGATGTGACTTTCCACTACCTGATGTGACTTCTCCTTATCGCCGTCGTGCCATGGGGATGATGTGACTTTTCCCGCCTGATGTGACTTAAGTACGGTGCTTGTACAACGTAACTTGTCAGCCCACTGTTCCCGAGGATACACATACATACCCCGATTTGTGATCTGTACAATCATGGTACTGTATCGTCATTATGTCATGATCATCCAAGCAGAAACTAGATGCACTGATAAACCACCAATGATACAATCATATTATGTTAGTTTTGTATTTTGTATAGTCCTATGCCTATAACCTAATCTATTCTCATATAATATGCTGTCATCTATTTTCATCTAACTGTCATCTAACTAGCCTCATGTAGCTGCATGACTTCAATTTGCTTCAAATTATCGTCCAATCTTGCTATCATTTATTCTCATGATATATACATATATATATTCATTTATTTATAATGTATGTATTATGCAATATTTACGTGATCATTTGTCATATTATTGTAGGTGTATAA